GTAGAAAGAAAATATGAATGTGTTCTCTATAAAATTTCTGGTTCATAATGAAATTTCTTGGTGGTATAGCCCCGTGATTTTTTACCATTTTCGAAGTTTTTGAAGTTAAATCCTTGTGTGCTTTTCCGGATTGTCTTTGTTGTGTTTTTGTTCGTAATTTTGTTCGGTTTCTGGACTTTATTTGATTTTATTTCGTGGTGTGATTTAAATTTATATTGATTCTATACTCAGGTAAAATTGAAGGGGATTGTTTTAATCCAAACAAGTGGTATGAAAGCGGTGTTTGATTTGAGTAAGAGCAATGACCAACAAAGCAAGATTCAAACTAGAGAGGTTCAATGGGACAAACTTTGCAGCCTGAAGGATGTGAGTGAAGAATTTGTTGCATTAGCAAAAGTTGTATTTGCCACTATAAGGAATCACCAAGAAGACTGAGTCTATGATTATGAAGGAATGATAAGTGTTGGATCAAACAACACTAGGTTTGATCCGGTTTTCACTTTTTTACAATGTTGCATTCAACATTATAAATGAAAAAAACTATGGTAGATCTTATGGTGACACTGACCAAGATATACGAAAAATATTTTGCTTCAAATAAAGTTTTTCTAATGAAGGGCTTATTCAACATAAAACTGGTGGAAGACACTTCAGTGACAGAAAATCTGAATAACTTCAACACTGTAATGAGTCAGTTGTTCTTTGTGGGCTCAAACTTGATGATGAGATCAGAGCACTGGTGATACTGTCTTCATTGTCATGGAATACAAAGTTGAAATTTAATGACATCGTGAATTTGATGCTGAATGAAAAAGTTCGCAGAAAGCACTGAAAGGTGAATCTTCTTGTTTTGTATTGATGCTGACAACAGAGGAATGATTCTGGACAAGAATACTAGCAAAGACAGATCTAAGTCCAGATCAAGCGGAAGAAATGATAGAGGAGAATGTTGGAACTGTGAAAAGAAAGAACATTTCAAAGAATGAAAAGCTCAAAGAAAAGCTAATGGTAAAAAAGAATATCTCTACAAATGTCTCTGCTGACGAAATTTAAAATGACTCTCTGGTGTTATCCCTAGTCAACCTTAAATCTTAAATAGTAGATTCAGGTGCCTTCATGTATGCCCCAAGAAAAAGGTATTCAAAATTTACAATCAGAGTGATGTATGAAAGGTTTATCTGGGAGATAATTAGACCTGCAGTATCGTAGGAAGGGGTGATGTTGATATCAGGTTGTCAAATGAAACAAATTGGAAGCTTATTGAAGTTAAACATATTCCAAGTCTGAAGAAAAATCTCTCTTTATGACCAAAATGACAAAATCAGGATTTTTGACTACTTTTATAGGTGATTCGTGGAAGGTGATCAGGGGGGAACTAGTGATTGCTCAAGACAACATTGAAGGCACTATTTACTTAAACAATGAAATAGTTGATTTCATTGATGTAGTTGGAACTAGAGTGGATGAAGTTTTGCGACACCGTAGACTTGGCCATATGAGCGAGAAATATATAAAGTCTTTACACTAAAAATAAATTTCAGGGTTTGAAATCAGTTTGATTTGGATTTTTGTAAAGATTGTATATATGACAAGCAGAAAAAAGTATCTTTCTCCAAAAGCAAGTCAGTGGTGAAGTCAAAGAAACTTAAGCTAGTGCATACTGACGTACAAGACCCTACTCCGGTTCAGTCCATTAGAGGTTCCCACTACTTTGTCACATTTTTTGATGATCACACGTAAAATGTATGTGTTTACTTCCTAAAGCAAAAATATGATGTATTTGAAATATTTAAGAAGTGAAAGATTATGATAGAAAATGAGAGAATTGAAATTGAAGTGTCTCAGATCAGATAATGAGGGCGAGTATCATGATTAGAAGTTCAAGAATTTCTGTGCTACTGAGGGGGTCAAGCATGAGTTCACTGTCCCAAGGACACCGCTGCAGAATGGTGTGGTTGAACGCCTTAACAGAAAATTACGTAGTATGCTAGGAGCATGAGGCTGCATGTAGGCTTGCCAAAACAGTTCTGAGTTGAACTAGTAAACAATTTAGTTTATCTGATTAACCGTGGTGCATCATTATCTTTGACGGAAGGCTTACCTAAAGAAGTCTGGAGTGATAAAAATGTGAATCTATCTTACTTAAAAGTATTTGGATGCTTTGCATATGTGTTTGTTGATGCAGGTTCTAGAAGCAAGCTTGACTCGAACTATGTCAAGTGCACATTCATTGGATATGACCCAGATGAGTTTGGGTAGTAGTTCTGGGATTATTAAAATCAGAAATTTATCAAGTGCAGGGATGTCACTTTCAATGAAATGGAAATGTACAAGAACAAGATCAGATGTCGAGACAGCACGTTAGCTACTTCTAAAGAGTCCAAGTATGTTGATATAAAAGACACTGATGATCAGGAAAGTGGAGAAAGAAGTAGTGCTCAGCCAAAAGGAGCACTTCCATTGGAAGTTCCTCAATCACTTGTTACTAAAGTCAGGAGATCTGGTAGAGTGATATGACCTTTACATAAGTATTCTCCTTCGTTACACCGTTTGTTACTAACTGATAGTGGTGAACTCGAGTGTTTTGAAGAGGCTATTCAAGTTGAAGACTTAAGGGAGTAAAAGTTTGTCATGGATGAAAAAATACAGTCCTTGGAGTCAAATCAGACTTGGTATTTAGCGGTATTACCAGAAGGCATAAGAACACCACACAACAAGTAGGCCTACATGCTAAAAGTGGAGTTAGTAGCAAATGCTACAAGATAAAACTTATTGTGAAGGATTTCCAGTAGAAGGAAGTAGTAGATTATGCAGAGAACTTTTTCCTAGTGGTCAAAATGACAACTGTCAGGGTTCTACTAAGTCTAGTAGTAGAGGAAGATCAACATTTAGAGTGATGAATGTAAAAACAATTTTCTTACATGAAGATTTGGAGGAGGAACTATGCATGGTGCAACTACAAGGTTATAAGGTTTTAAGTAAATAGAATTTGCCCTGCAGATTAAAGATGAGCCTATATGGATTGAAGCAGACACCGAGACAGTTGTATTGAAGGTTTGACAAGCTTATGTTAGACAATGGGTACTTAAAACGCCAAGCAAACCACTGTTGCTTCATCAAATATTTTGGTAATTATTATTTCTTGCTTCTTTTGTATGTGGATGACATGTTGATTGAAGAGCAAATGTAGAGAAAATCAAGGACTTGAAAGAAATAACTATTAAATGAATTTGAGATGAAGGACATAAGTCTAACCAAAAAGATTCTCAGGATGAGAATCAACAAGGCAAGAGTGTAGGAACACTAAAATTGTCCAGACAAAATATGTTGAGAAGATCCTACAGAAGTTCAATATGAGTGAGACAAAACCAATTAGCACCCCCTTTAGGTAGTCACTTCACACTATCTAAGGAGCTATCGCCTAATTTTGAAGCAGAGAAAGCACAAATGAAGAGAATTTTGTATGTTTCAACTGTTGAAAGTTTGATGTATGCAATGATTTGTACCAGATCAGATATTGTATATGCAGTAGGAGATATCAGCAGGTACATAAGCAATCTAGACAGTCATCATTGGGAGGCGATAAAGTAGATTCACAAGTATTTTAGGGGAACAATCAACAGGGCAATTTGCTATAGAAGTCCAGGGATCAGTCTACAAGCAGGAGATGTGGATAATAGAAGTACAACAAGGTATATTTTTACATTAGGGAACACAATGGTAAGTTGGGTTTCTAGATTGTAGAAGATCGTTGCACTCTCAAACTCGGAGGTCGAATACATTATTATCACTGAGGCTAGCAAGAAGATTTGACAATAAAGTTTTATGAAAAAATTGAGCAAACAACTGAGGATTGAAAAACTTCACAATAACAGTATGAGAGTGATTCATATTGCTAAAAATATTTTTTTCATGTCAGGACAAAACACATTCAGTTGATGTATCATGCTATACATTCTCTTCGAGAAAACAGGCAGTTGTTCTTGGAAACATAGTTCGAAATCCTGCGGATATATTGAGAAAGTGGTGACAGTTGAGAAACCGAAGCTATACTTGGCTTCAGTTGTATTTCACGAAGGTTGAAACTGATGGTGAACCACATCACGGTCCGTGATTATAAAGATGATACAAAGGAGCTGCACATATGGAGGACATGTGTTAGGTGCAATCAGTCTCCAAGTGGAAGATTGTTATGATGTGGAGCCTGATTTGGAGCACCAGACAGTCACAACATCAGGCAGGACCAAGCGCTTGGAGCTTTAGCACCAAGCAACGTGCGCCCAACCTAGCCGCTCCTACGCCCGCCCAACCTAGGCCACTCCTACGCCCAGTTTAATTGCCCTCATGCCTAATTGTGGCCATCTCTACGCCCACCTCTTGGGTTCCAAGCTATTCTTCCCGAACCACGAACGCAGAGGGGCCTAATTTGATGCAGTTTTGCGTCTGATGCAGTTAGTTCGGGATTCAACTTAAGGCATTTTTTAGCGACGAAATGGAGTAGTTTCAGTGCGTGATTTCTTCGACAATTTTTTGGTGAATGAGAGAAGTGTCGAAGAGGAAAATTTCACATGTGTTTCTCTTGTCGGATCGAGAGGAAGGATTTGGAGCTAAGTGCTGCAAGTTTCCTTGATTCTATAGAGAAAATATGAGTGTGTTCTCTGTAAAACATTCTGGTTCATAGCGAAATTTCTTAGTATTGTGGCTCCGTGGATTTTCCGGTTCTCAGATTTTGTACATTAATTTTTTGTGTGTTTTTGTGGATTGTTTTTTTTGTGCTTCTACTCGTAATTTTGTTCCAATTTTCTTGAATCTTAGCGATTCTATTCCATGGAGTGGTTTAGATTTATAGTGAATCTAAGCCATGGTAAAGTTGAAGGGAATTGTTTCAATCTCAACAAAGACTAGCCCGGTCTTGCATGGTTTTCAAAACATTGCTTAAAAGCATTCAAACTAAAGTCACAATATTGGATCAATATGGAAGAAGCAAATTGGTTAAAAACCATGAAATCTATTAAGATGGTTCAACTGCCTAACTTGTATTCACAACTGGATAAAGATAAAAAGAATAAATAAAATAAAAACCAAGCAAAAGACCAGTGCATTCTCTAGCCAGCATTGTTATCTAGCAAATGGCTTTACTATATATCATGGTGATACACATAATGAGGTGATAAATCATCATCATCATCATCATCATGCTCATATTGATAGTGCGGCGATGAATCATGATCATATTGATATCGAGGGGATGAAGCAAAATCATAGGCATGATGAGGTGAAGGTGCGGAAATAGGTTCTGTTATTTGAGGTGAATTAAGGTCAGTTTGGCTCTTGTCAACTCTGGCCTCTCCCATTTCCACATCCTCGAACATTTGGAATATGGGATGAAGATATGCATCTGCTAAATAAGCCTTAAGATTAAGGTTGGGCTCAGAGGCCTTCTCCATCGTATCCTTCTCCATTGCCTCCTGAAATTTACATACTAAATTCATAACCAAATCATAATTTTCAATAAATAAATATATCTTTTCTGAAGAGAGAAATCAGAATACACATTTTCTCCCACTGCTCACGTTTAGAATATCCACCAAAAAATAAATTAATTTTCTCTAGTAGTAAAATTTCTTCGTTTTCTTAATGACAAGCTTTCCAGTCTCGGGAGCTCACTGTAGCACTGTATAAGAAAATGACAAACCAATCAAAATGGTAAAATGGAGAGAACGAACCTCAAGAGGGTATTTTCGAAAAGCAGGTTCAAATCGGCTTTTGCAGTACTTGTGAAACCAAACAGTCAGCACTGGTAGGATAATGAGGAGAGGGGTGGAGTGCGCAGCTTTCTTTGTGCTCAGTAAACCAAGGAGTAGTAGTTGGGATATCAACAAGCTTGCAATAATTCGGCTGTGTACATGAGGCCAAAATGCTCCAGCACTTTCATATTCTTGGTTGTAAACGTTGATAATCTGAGATGGCAAAATTAACAAATATCAGGTACTCTTCTAATAAAATTTAAGATAAATTTTCTTATCAATGATCAGACTTTAATGAGCTGAAAATAGAGAATCACTCTGGTATTATAAATAATGGAAAATGTAAATACCACTCAATTCTTATGTATTTACATATCAAACACCTAAACTTTAATTTTTACATACATGCCACTCTACCTATGCAGGAAAGTGTCTTTCACTATTTAAAAGTTCATATGGAGGTATTTTTTATGTGATATAAAAGATTTGGGCGGTATTAATGTAAAAAATCAATGTTTAGGATGTTGTACAAAACAATATGGAAAATGAAGCACACAACAAATAAACAATCAAACACGGTGCAACTTACGTGGTTCAGCGCAAATCCGCCTACACCCACGGTAGGAGGTTATTCAACTATTAACATTATGAGAAAAAAAAAAGATGGTTTGAAATAATGATACAACTCCGCACACAAAAATTAATCATAATCCCTCCCATAAATAAAAAAGGATTAGGGCATACTAATAAAAAAATAAAAAATGATAAATTTACCCCTTTTTACAAATAAGCCTCTAATATAACAATCTCAACCTCATCCCGCACTTCTAGATAAGTGAAAGAAAACCAAAAAAAGCTCCAACATCAAAACCACCGCACCAAGATGAATGTCTAAGCACACAACTCCAGAAGGGATCAAACCTCTCATATTTCTTCAAAATGCCTAAATGAGAAATTAATCATGAGCTCAAATGTTTATCAAACTCCTAGAGTAGGTGAACTTTTGGACTGATAGTACCTTTGTGAGCATGTCAGTGGGATTCTCCTTCGTATCTATCTTCTTCAACAGAACATTATCGTCATCAATCAAGTTCTGAACAAAATATTACCTTACATAAAAGTGTTTGGTACAAGTATAATGAATTGGATTTGTGGCAAAGAATATCGTACTCTGACTATCATAGAATATCGTCAGAGACTAATCAACTCCTAAGTTATCCAGTAAGCCCGGCATCCATATCGCTTCATTGCCTCTGTGTTGTCATGTCTTCAACATCCATATTAGACAAAGTAATAGTAGATTGAAGAACAAATATCCAACTGATTGAACCTCCAACAAATGTGAATAAGTAGTTAGTCGTAGGCCCATGCCTATCAATATCAGTTGCATAGTTTGCATCAGTGCAACCTACACACAAATCAACAAAAGATGATTGTCTCTCAAACACTAAGCCGAGATCAACTTTAACTTTTAGATACCTCAGAACAGTCTTCACAACATGTCAATAACTTTGTCCTGGGTCATGCATGTACCTGCTCACAACATCAATCACTTTTATAATGTCTGTTCTAGTACATAAACCATGATACAAATCAGATTGCCCACTATACTAGCACAAAGAATCGACTGCATATATTTTCTCTCCTGATCATTTTTAGGCATTGACCTGAACTCAACTGAAAGTATGATGCAATAGATACTCATTGCCTCGCTGGAGTCATCAATCCTAAATTTTTTTAGCACCCTCCGAATATATGCTTCTTATAAGAGTCAAACATTTACAGTGCCTTGTCCCTGAGAATGTCCATGCCAAGAATTTTGCAAGCTTCACCCAACTCCATCTCGAAATGTTTGGAAAGTTATTTCTTTATTCTATCAACCTCAGTCTAACTGACAAATGCAATCAACATCTCAATACGAACCTGGTGCAGTGAAGCACTGATAACTCATGAAAGTATACATGTTGTTGCATCGGTAATATCTGTAATTGAGTTCTAAGTATCAATCCTAACATGTCGCATCAGTAATATCTGTAATTGAGTTCTAAGTATCAATCCTACAGGGAACTAACTGAATCTCAAAATAAAAAGTTCTAGCTTACTATTGTTGGTTCTAGCCTGAAGTGTTCAAGCTCTCAAAATTCAATATAGTTTATATCATAATTCTTTTTAAAAGCAAGTCTACCCTAGCAAACAAAACGAGTTTTTAAGAGATTTCCCACTTCAATTAATCTAGCGTTGAATAGAATTAAGGAAATGATCTAAGCTCGGTGTCAATCTAGAGTGAATTCTTTCTTATCCCCTCTGGAAGTCTAAGAAAGATTGGTTTTCACATGTTTAGTTCTCTAAATCCCATGATCAGCCCAGGCAAATAACATCTCCCTATTGATTGCAAAAACTCAAAGGCAATATCTTTATTCCAATGAGTTTATGTGGTTAACCCTTTTCACTCTACTAATTATTATTCTGGATCTCAAAGTTCACGAATGATTTTAACACTTCTATAGGTTTGTCAGAATATAAATTAAGTTTAATGGTCAACACAACTTAATTAAGAAAGTTCGAATGCATCATAAAGTAAACTTCAATTCTATCCTATTAAATTTCCAATCCAAAGATGAAACAAAGAAAATTACAGACTACTCATTGCAAAACTCAGCAAAATAAACATTGAATTAAGGCATCTTAACCCAAGTCTTATAAAGAAATCCAAGTAAAAACTCAACTGAAGTAAACTTATTTTCTTTCCTATCAAAATAGGATTGACGAAATTAAAACAAGCAATATTTACACCCTTTGATCCTCTCAAATCTCTCATTTCTTCTCTCAAAAACACTTTGTAAATCTTCTTTGATCTTCTCCTTCAGTGCTCCCTGCTAAAAAATGGTAGGCTCCTTACTTTGTTTCTAGCATTTTTATCCTTCTCCCTATGACGAGGTGCATCCCAACTATTGTGTGCCTAGGCATCTGTCTATGGCGCCTAGGTGCTAGTCACGAAATCTAGAACTAGGGCTTCAGGTGATGTAGGTGTAGCGCCTACACGAAGCAGTTGCAACGCCTACTTTTCAGGCTCTTTGTAATCCAGATGATTTATGGATGACATCCCAAAGTCGCCTACTTTCCGAGCTCTCTGTACTCCAGACGATTTCTGGATGGCATCCCCCAAAGGCACAAGTATACACTAAAATGACGGTACCCCATCACTTATCTGACTTTCTCCAAATAATAGAGGATTGCACAAGTACAATCAAAAACACAAGTATACCTTGAAACTCACAATCACTCTCCTCACATCTCTCAAAAACTTTTGGACACTTCTTCCTTGAGGTTCTCTCCACTGAAATCCTTCTCCAAAGCTTGTGTATGCTTTGAAATGCATGAATTTCTTCCTTCTATCATTGTCATGCGATTATAAGACTTCATTTCACAAAATGATGATTACGAACCCATCAAAACTGCCAAAACGCGTGAATTGGTGCCTAGACGCTAGTCACTAGAACATAGGCAGTAGTCACTGGCACATGGCCCTGGCCACTGGCACATAGTTGTTGGTGTCGCAACACCTACATCTAGAATTCTGAGCTGCTCACCTAGAGCTTTGGGCGTCTAAGCGCCCAAATGCAGCGCCTAGATGCTAAGGCTGTAGCGCCTAGGTGCTGCTATTGTGGCACTTACTTTCCGTCTTCTCTACCTTTTGGATGAAAAGTTGACCAGGGAACACACCCAAGGCGCTTAGACACTGGTCCATCCCTTAGCCATTTTCTGACTTTCTTCTGCTTTGATAAACCTTCTACTTGAATCTTGCAAAACACATCACAAATACATTCCAAAAACGTCAAATTAGCATAAATATTATTAAAATAAAACATAAATAATCACACTTCATATTTACATCACACATCTCTATTTGTATATGTTGTAAAAATATAGAGCAAAGGCATAAGTTTTCTTCGTCATCGAGAATTTTTTAGCATGCAACAGTTTGAAACCGTCTATAATAAATAAAATCCAATAGTTATAGAAATTTAAGCAGACTTTCAATGGCTAGTAATACTCATGACATTAGAGCTTTCCACTTCAATATTCATCATTCAATGGAACAATCTCGTAGTTGGGGATACAAACTTCTACTTTTCCCCATCATGGGCATCGCTCCACTGATGAAGGTGTCTCTCTTTGTTCTTAGAAGAACGCATGTGAAGGATGCAAGAATCTCAAAATGAGATTCTTCAGCTTTTATATGAAACTTGACAACCAGTATTAGGGCAAATGGGTGAGGTTTATCTATCCCAAGATCAATCACAGATCAAAAATGCCCAGATAGAGTATGCTCCTCCAATGGCTCCCCATACTAAAGTTCAGCCTCAAACGGATCAGGAAAGTGACCTCTTGGATATTTGCTAGTTTCATACATCCATCTCGTGCAACAAAATCAAATTGCAAACCTCCAAAACTCTTGGAGAACTTAGCTCAACCCCATCATGTAATTCACAATCATTTACGACGTAAAGTTCAGAAAGAATTCTCTGCAAGAGAAGGAAGCCATTTTCTTAATAGGATAGTTCCCAAAAGTCTTTATCATTGGCCGAGAAAGTCCTGCAACGCCTTATTCCAACAGGGTTCAAGCTCCCAAATATTGATTCATATGGTGAAACATATAACCAATCTGAACACATTGATCACTATATAACCATCAAGTTTTTATGCCAGCCTCAAAAGTCAAGCATGTACTTGGTTCTATTCTATCAAGATGGACTATTTATACCTTCAATGAATTTGTCATGTTCTTTGCAGAAAAACTTATAGCAAATTGAATTATATCAAAAACTCCTATCTTTTTGGAATTCGTCAAAATGAGGGAGATATACTTAAAGAATATTTTCAAAAAATCTCTACTAAAACTCATCAAACTTCAGTGATGAATCTATAGCTATTAAAAGTGTTTTTTTAAGAGGGTTACGCCTTGGGCCTTCAACTTCTCATTAATTCCAGAGATGATTCACACTTATACTAACCTCATTTATCATGTTAAGTCTCAAATCACTGTTAATGAAGCTATAATGCACATTGAAGAAAATTTAAATGATTCTTTAACAGTGAGCTATAAGATAATTATAGCTTTATAATGCACATCAAACACAAAAAATCTTGGAGAAGTTACACAAATCTTCTAGAAAAGAAAACAAATAAAGTTGATAGATTTTTTTAATTAA